ATGTGCAGTATAACGAGCGGCTTAGGGAAAGGTATGAAAATCGCACGAAACTCAACCCTATTCAATTATATGAAACTGATGGTGATTCCATAAGTGAGTGGACCGTGGATCCAAGACAAGAGCGTGTGTTTGAGGATGAGGATCTTACATGGCTTGATGTCGAGTTAGCAATAGCGGTTAATGAAGAAGATCGACCTAACACTAGAGCACAAAGGCGTAGAGGAGCTGCTGGGTCTAGTTGCACTCGCACATTAGCTTCAGAGGTCGAGGAAGACGCTGACTCAAAGGAGACTGATGAAGAAGAATACATGGACGCCGTCGAGGATGATATTGATGATGCGCATGACGACTCTCAGGATGACTTGTCTGATTGATATTTGAAAAAATGAAGTTCAAATTTCAAACTTGACTCGCAAAATGGATGATTGTATTAAGTTATTATTTATTAACTATTAACTCTTCTTGAGCTTGACTTTTGATTTGTATTTTGTAATATCATTATTTTGTACTTATGGTTGTTGATGGTTGAGTTTAATTATAGTTGTGCTTATGGTGCAAATTTGTGCTGGTGATTGTTGATTGTTGAATGCTTTATGAAGCTGGTTTCAAGTTTCTAGTTATCAGGGGATAGTGGATAACTGGATACAGAATCTCCGACAACTAATAGTTTTGAAGTTAATCATTAAACTAAAATACCTACTATCACATATATCACCTTCATATTTTTTTTCTATACATTAACTTATTTTTTTAGATTTTTTTGAATTTTTTTACATTTATTGACAGCATCATCGCGATGCACCCGCATCCTGGCCACATCGAGCCGCATCGCCGCATCGGCCCCCCACCGCATCAGGGCCGCATCCCGCATTTTAAAACACTGTCTTCAATTGATGCAATGGTGCATTAAGGTATTATTTATGGGATTCAAGAATTGTTAAAGAAGCTAGTGATCTCACTTAAAACTCAAATATTGGGAAATATTTTGCAAATCATCACATTTAATGATATCCAATTTATATGCATGCCAAACAAAGGAGCAGAACTTCACTAATGAAAAATGAGAACCAAGGGAAGTTTAAAGGGCCCTTGAGGATCCCGGGAAAAGCTCTCATGTGCATATTAGAAGATTTTTTAAATCCATTAGAAAATAGATTCAAGTTACTACCCCATATGCCTAGGATAGTGTATAAGGGGGATGTATTGTATGCTTTATGGCTAATTGCACATTTTATCCAGAAGTAAAAGATACTGTGAATAAAATACTGAGCTACAGTAAATGTATAGTCCAAACTAATTTTCTAGACAATTGGGATCCATGTTTCCTAAGAACAAGACTGAAGCTTTTGACATGGAAATACAAGTCAAAATAAATAAAGCCAAACAGAAGTAATGGGAAAGAAAAAATAAAATTAAACAAATAAATAACGAGACAGAAAATATGTATCAATTTTGAGGATTTTGTGGACAGAAAGGAAACAGTGGGAGGTACTCCCTTACGTTCTGGTATTTTACATATATCATTGCTTTGGGTATCTAGTCATGTTGAGAGTATAGAGAGTTGATATTTTGTAGAAATACCCGAGTTTTTGAGATATGAAATGAAACCCCTCTCTTAGAGAGAAAACTCATTAAGATGGAAATAGAACATTTGGGCTGGGTATGGCTGATCTGAGCCAAGAATCTGAGAATTCACTCTGAATGGTGAAGATTTACTTGTGACAAAAGGAGTCTGTCTTCTTTAATTCAGACGATACAAATATCTGGCAATCATTTGCCAAAGACATTTTCATATAGAAACCATTTCCCTTCAAATATGAGTGAATTCTTGGTATAGAGATGCATTGTTTGTTAATAATTCCGTAAGTGCTTATGGCTTATGCTAATTTTCTTTTGTTCATAGTTTACAAATCCAGTGTTCTTCCACCAATATTTTTTGTGTAGAACAATATTTTTTCCCATTTTTTCTGCAGACAGTTCTTATTCATGAAAATTCAAAGATCATGGTAAATATGAAACTCTGTGAATTGGTGGCTAAAAAGTATTATGCAATACAAAATCGACAGAAACTATAATAGAGGTCCAGCGTTAGCTATCATGCATTTCAAATTTCAAAGATTCAGTAGACCAAAAAAAAAGAAAAACATATTGCAATCTATGTTGCACACATAATATTGATAAGTTGATATTGAATTACAAGAAAATGATGATCAATACATAAAAAATATAAAACCCAAAGACCAAGACCTATACTACGTTTGTCTCTATTTCTTTATTTCTCGTTCTAATTATCGCTTTTGAGCAGTTAACTGCAAAACCATTCCTGGTTTGCATTGATTTCAAGATTTTTCAATACCCACTTAATTATATAACAAAGAGATGGGCTCCGAGACCCAAACACTTGACAACAATTTTTCCTTTTGTCTACATATTCTACCTGGCTGTTAAGTCTGGAGAGAAAATAACACATACATAATCAAAATATGATATAAGTTTATGGAAAGGGACATTACATTGGGGATCAAGCTCTGGTACGCTGACCAGATCTCCAGGAATGGATGGTGGTTTTGGATAGAGAGAAGCAGCCGATCGAATCTCTTCAAGGCTTACTTCAGCTCCAAATAAAGGGATTGATGTTAGAGTAGAAGCATTCCTCCCTAAACGCTGATAGGTTCCCCACTTCTTCTTTTCATGTTCGTGTGATTCTTCGCCAACAAACACCAACGCAGTGCCACAATTTATACCAAGCAAAGCATTAGAGAAAGATATAGGGCATAATTGAATTTCAAATATAAGCATGATAGAAAGGGCACATTTCAATTCCATATACATGCAAGAGAGAGAAAGAGGGAAGAGGGAAGACAAAATTCAATCCCAAATATATGACATGACAAATTTTTTGTTAAGGACAATATATTCTTAACTGAGGAGGAAATTGACACACACAAACAGTGGAGAGGGAAAATAAAGGCGGTTTTTCTTGTTGGAGAATGACTCAAAGAGAGAATTGATAGTTCCAGCAGTGATAGAGTACCAAGTGAGATAGAGATAAAACATTGATTCCAGTCAGAAATTATAACAGAGAGAGCATTTTGACAGAGAGAAAGAGGGAAACAACTAGAGAGAGAGAGAAGATAGAATTAAATTACAAATACATGCCACAGAGAGAGAGATAAGACACTATTCAATTCCAAGTTTATGGCATGAAAATCTTTTTGTGAGGGCATAACATACTTAACTGAGAAGAAAATAGGTATAGAGACAAATATCTGAAGAGTGAGAGAGAGAGAGAGAGAGAGAAAGGGGATATTTTTCTTATTGGAGAATGAGTCAGAGAAAGGTGATAGTTCCAGCACTGATTCAGCACCACTTGTGTGTGTGTGTGTGAGAGAGAGAGAGAGAGATAGAGATCAAACATTGCCCCGGCAGAAATTATTACAAAGAGCAGTAAGAGAGAACGAGAGAGGGAGGGCAAACATTAATTTTCAGGCAGAAATTATAACAGAGACAGCAGTAACAGAGAAAGTGAGAGAGAGAGAGGGAGGGATCAAACAATAATTCCAGGAAGAAATTATAACAGAGATAGGAGTAAGAGAGAGAACGCGATTCAACACCGGAATCATAGCAGGTACAACACGGAGAGAGAGAGAGAGAGAGAGAGAGAGAGAGAGAGAGAGAAAGAGAGAAAGAAATGGAGTTCTAGCCCCTATCATCCATGAACGGATGAGAATCACGGAAGCAACATCAAAGAGACAACTAGAGATAGTGAACAACAATTCTTTCTCCTATTCTACCAAATGTTAAATTGATCAACAATTCAAATACTAACACAGTAACAGGAAACATATAGAGATAGAATTCTGAATATAAAATGGATCAAATACAAAATAATTAAAATAAAAATTAGAGAGAGACAGAGTGTGTGTGTGATTACCTGAAAGCAAGGGTTCCTCCATTGAAGGGTAGATAAGAGCATCAAACCCCTAAATTGATTGAAGATGTCCCATGTCTTCATGAGGGAAGAAAAACTCCGCAACTTATACCCTTTCTGAGAAATCATTTGCGTCCTTTGGTGGACCACCCTCTACTTTCAGAGAAAACTCACGAGTATCCTCGTCCACTTTTGTTAAATTTTTGTGAAATTTATTTGCAGACCAAAATAATTTTTGAATTACAGAAATGTTTCGTATTTCAAGATGTTGTACGGTGAGGTCCAAATTTTTTGGGTTTCTTAATTTGTTGTATTTTTTGTTCGAAAACCATTAGTATCCCCTAAAATTTCAGTTTTCCTTTTCCCTTTTTTTTTTTTTTCTTTTTTTTTTTTCGTAGTCTCAGTATTTTTTATAATTTCAAGTGTTTGAAAGTCTTAAGTTTGAATTATCCAAACACTTAGTTCTTTTTAGAGAATTCAAAAATTGATTTCAAAAGCCAAACTTTCAAACCGCCTAAAACATTACACTTGGTATTTGTGTGACATGGATGAATTTTTGAGCCGCCGAAACACTTAATTTCCCTTGGATTGAATCGCCCAAGTCTCCTTGTGTGCAGTTAAACAACGAATAATTGGCAACCTTGGGCAGTGCTTTGAAAATCTCAATCGGGCTCCAATTCAATACGGTTCTGTATACGAATTTATGTTCGACTCGGACAATATCTTAGTCAAAGCATTTTATGTTCGACTCAGATGGACACAGACGATCTCCAAGTCAAACCATGCTGCAACTGACAAGTGACTTGCGCTACTCCAAGGATTTTCAATCTAGAACCCTCAAACTTCTAACTCCACTTCGACTCTCCAGATTATGAGTCGGCTCGGCAAAATTTCTATCACTGCTTTGGGTTTGAGATTGTAACTCATAATATCTTTGAAGCATAGTATACTCATAACTCACTACTGTAGTCCAGTTTCCTTCCTCGTCCAATCTCACAAGGGAACATGACGCTTGGGGACCTGTGAGTGCTCATAAGGGAACATGATGCTATGCTTCCTACGGAGCATAGTATCTTTCATAGTATAGCATACATTTTGTGTCCTTATTATGCTTTGGGTGGTGTGTTTTAGGGTTCGAGGCTTTATAACATTTGATAGAGTTTTACATCAAAACCCCATTGAAAAATGCAATTTCAATGTTGGCAAACATTATGATGCCTTGCAAATTTGTTTTCAGCCTTGATTATGAAATTTGAAGGTTAAAAATGACCTACATCAAATTGATTTGTGAACACTCAAAATAGATGATACATAAAATATTTTACAAGATAGACTGATTTTGGGACTTGAAATTCATTTTTTCATACTTATGATCGTCAAAATCGAAGTCGAGATGATCCATTTGCAAGTATCCTGATGCCAAGAACTACATTCTCATGTTATAATTGAGGTGCGGCCTTATACAATTGTGTACAGCTAAAACACATTCCCTTGCACATTTGCTTTGTGTATTTAAACATGTGGTGCCATATAAGATGGTATCTTTTAACAAGAGCGTGCATACCATGCTCCTGCAGGAACAAATACTATGCGGTTACTCCCTCCATCAGGCAGAAGACTAACTTGGGAAGATTTTCGGATGAGAATTTTTTGGGAACCACCAAAAAATCATTTGATAATTATATACAAAATAAATTTTTTTGAATTTTGAGCTTTCTAACACTTTTGATCTCACCTTTTGGATTGTTTTTATTATCTTAAGGCTTTTTTTTTTTTTTTTTAAACCAATAGAGAAGTTACATCATTTTGGGTCTTTAAAATGCTTCTAGATGGGATTTTTCCCAAGGGTGTAAATGTTTTTAGATATGCAAAAATTTTGAGCTCCAAATTCGTGAATATGAGGTAAAAATAGATTAGCAGCAATTCATCTTCTTAATCGATCTCGAGATGGATTTTGGATCCAAATTTTCATAGATCTATCATTTAGACCACCAGCCGGAGGCAAAAATAGGAGAGAGAGAGAGAGAGAAATAGCCTGTTTTGCACTTTTTTTTCCAGACCATTCGTTTCAATTCATCAAATATTACAAGAAATGCACTAATTTTGAGCTCCGAGTTTGGCTGTTACGTAAAAATGGATTTGCAGTGATTTAAGATGTTTCTTGATATAGGTTTGGATCCAATTTTTCATATATCTATCATTTAGACCACCAAGATCATGAACTTGGAGGCAAAAATAGGAGCCAAGAGAGAAATAGAATTAATCTATTTTGTATTTTTTATGGACCATTCCTTTCAATTGATCAAAGAGTATTAGACATGCACTAATTTTGAGCTCAAAGTTTATCACTATAAGGTAAAAATGGATTTGCAGTGATTTAAGATGTTTCTCGAGTCCTAAATGTGTCTTGAATTCCATAAATTATATTGTCCTTTTTCGATCCAGTCACATTCCTCATAAACACGATTTCCACATCCGCGTGGACCCCAATTTCTCAACCTTAGTTTGAAAATATCAAATGACAAAGACTAACACATACAACTATGCAACATTACATTTCTTGTGCACTAAGCATATGGATGGATGGCTTCAAGTCAACACGCCAAACATAGGGGACAATGGAACGGGACTCGGGTCGGGTATGTGTCCAAAAATTGGACCGTAAACCCACCAAATAGTGGATCCAACACTATTCAGATTCAGGTCCAAACCCCAATGGTATTTTAATGATATTTAATTAATATTTAAATAAATATCAGTGTTGTCAAATTCGCTTCAGAGCCTTCTTCAAATTGGTGGAAAAACAAATCAATTCGGTGCTTCGGCCGATTCGGAGGAAGATCTCGGAATATTTTAAACAATGTAATATAAATAAAGTATATATTTATATATAATACATAAAAAAGATCATTTTTTTTAAAAAAAGTAAAAAATAATTTAAAAAAAGAACAATTATGTGCTTCGGGCAAAGATTTTGAAGATGACCAAAGCACATAATTGCTTTTAAAAAAGACAAATTTGTGCTTTGGCCAAAGAGGCTGAAGCTTTAGTTGAAGAGGCCTAATCGAACCGAAGCAGGCCGAAGTTGATGCACCAGAGCTTCGCTTCGCTTCCATCTAGGCCGAAAGTCTTAAGCCTTTCGGCCTAAGCAAAGCGAATTTGATAACATTAATAAATATAACTATATATTTTTAGTTATAATATTTAAATTATATATACATAGAGAGAGAGAGGGAAAGCTTTCTATGTTCCCCCTATAACATAGAAGTGTTATGTTCCCCCTACCATCTAGCCGTCTATTTTTTATCAAGAGAGCCACTCGCCATTTGATTTTAGATCCGGCGTCTCAAATTATTTTAATTTTAATTTTTTTAATACAATTTTTTTTAATATAAAATTTGGTACATGCTATCTTCCCATTGGGGTGCACCTATAAAAAATATTAACAATAATTTTTTTATAAATCATAATGACCAAAATACCCCTTGAAGTTTTCAAGGTTATTTGGTCATTTTATTTTATTAAAAATATTTTTTTATATTTTTCATTAGTGCGAATTTAATATAGGAATGGATGTCCAAAATTTGGTGTCAAAACAGTTTATAGAAAAGAAATTTAAAATAAAAAAGTGTAGAGAAGTGATATTGTGATTGGGCTAATCATAGCCCTCCATTAAAAAATGGAAGGTTAGATAAGGGGAACATAGAACTTCTATATTGTAAGGGGGATATAGAAAGCTTTCCCCCACACACACACACATATATATATATATATATATGGTTTATTTAGAGTTAACAACCACTCAAAATGCAAATGTTCAAGTTAGAAGGGGTTGTGATGAGTATATTTATCAAAACAATCATTATTTTTTATTAAAAAATTATTTAAATAGGTAATTTTACCATTAAACAATAGTAATTTTGAAATTTTCATAAAAGTACCATGACATTTTGAAAGTTAATATCCTAAAACTTTATTTATAAAGTGTCATTGTCTTTTAGTTAAAATTTTAATTTTACCCTTTATAGAGATGACAAAAATACCTTTTGTCTTGTAGTAATGTTTACAAAATTGCCCCACAGTAATAAACTTTTTTAAAAAGTATACTACAAAATTAATAAAATCCACCATTCACAACTCTCATCTTGAACATTTATAAGTTGAAAGGTCGTGAAGTTTAGAAAATCTTATATATATATACATACATATATATATATATATTACAATATTTAAAAATAAATAAATTTTGGATCGGATCCAATCAGGTCAACGGACCCGACCCGACCCCCGTTGCCATCCCTAGTCCCATGCTAAATTATGCAAGGCCATTTATTTGTTCTAAAAAAACATCATGTGCTCTAGTCTATCTAGGGAGGGCTCCTCCCTATTTCTTCGTATTGTACTTTTATCTTTAGGAGCTTTGTTCCGTTATCTCACGAACATTACTCTTGCCATTTGCTCCGTTATCTCATGAACATTACTCTTACCGTTTAAAAAACAAAAAGAAAAACATTACATGCTCTCGTGCGATCACAATGTGTGTTTGCTTCCTCGAGCAAAACCTAGCTAGGAGTATGTATTGTGTAACTGTGACCCAACTTTTAGGAGTGTGAGGTACTAAATAGAGTGATCAAAAAAGAAAAAAAAACAAAAAATAAAACTCCATAGCAACAACAGCTTCAAAACGTATGAAAATACCCATGCGGTGATTCTAAAGTAGATTCGAGCTTTCAGATCAAGACTCCTTACTAGGTCCTTTGCCCGAGGGAGTTAATGTAAAACAGTGATTTAAAAAATAGATCGGTGGTTAGGATTAGACATCGCTAAAATTGATCTAGATCAATGAATCGGCTGTCCGGATTGCTGTTTTACTGGATGAAAAAAATAATGAACAGGAGAAAAAATATATGCAAAAATTATGAACTGACAAAAACCAGTCCAGGTCAATGAATCGGCATTTTTACTGTAGTAAAATAGAGTTTTTACTGTAGCAA